ATAATGTGTTGTGACATATATTTACTGAGGGGTACGACATGGAGAGAAAGAGAGTGGAGAATAGGCTTGAGGAATTGTGTGTTAATTCCCCAATCTTTGTGCCTTTATTTATAGTAAAAAGAAGGAGAGAAACTGGCTCTCTAAGTACTACAAAGTCTATTAGGAAAGATCTTCTAGATCTCAAAGGATTCCTAGTCTAACTCTACTTAGGATTTACATAATCACAATATGTATTTGTTGACCCTAAAAACTACCAAGCCTATGTGGCGCGCAGGCCAAGTAATTAATAAGCTAATTACGTCATTCGGTTGTGTGCGGGGCGTGCCAACTCGACGGCTGAGCTCGACCAGTGAGTAAAATTTGTTGATGTCGAGTTGGGCGCGCTGCTGACTTCTTAATCTCTCGACTGCGGCCGAGGAAGGAACACATCTTGGCCTTCGGGTTCTAGAGCCTGAAGACAAGGCTGCTAGTTCTGCGAAGTTCAATATCAAATTTGGCTCCCAGGGTGCTGAATGTAGTAACCTGGTAACACCTCGCTTCACCGAGAAGGCTAATGAGATGACATCTGCCAAAAAGGATTCGAACATCCTTCTAGACCAAGACTTGGATAGATAACCAGTCGGCCTCGTCGCAGTGCTGTTTATCCAAACTGAAGATGTTCGCCGGTTGCCTTCACAGTGCTGTTTATCCAAAATGAAGATGTGTTGGCGAAAAAGAAAATAAAAATCTCAAGATGTTTGAGAGGTTTCGCGTAGAGCGAGGGTTTGCATAGGGCAGTTTATGTGTTGAGTTGGAGCCCATTTCTGTTATCTGCAGCTTTGTATTTATAGCCAAGCCTACGTGATCACCAATCCAATAAAGCCTTTTCCCGGATATACTCCAAAAAACAATATCAAAACAACCGATATTTTCTTTAATATATTCTGCCAAAAACCTCGCCAGCCTCTTTGCGTTGCATCCAGATTTTTTCAAAGAGACTTTGAAAATTCAAAGCATCCTTATCATTTCAAACCCATCTGTCACATCCATCACCAAGTAAAACAAAAAGCCTAGTCTACCTAGGTTTCCTATGCCATCATTATCCATGACTACGATTTTTTTAGATGATATCAAATCCCTCGTGATGATCTCCTATCAATCAACACGTCTACAGCCAATAGACCCAAGTTAATCTGAACTCTGTTGTTACTGCTTCCCATTAAAGATAATGAGAATCCCACTTATTTTGTACAAGAAAACCGAGATAAAGATAATTATTATGATTAAAAACCATAATATTATTTCTTAACAATAACAAAATATTTTAACTTCCATATCCGACGATCAAGAACCATGCTCACTTAACGGCCTCAGTTGCTTGGGCCGATGGTGTAAAATCAGGTCCAAACAGTATTAGAACATATGTCACAACAACTACAACCTTTTGTTTAGTTTCATTTTTGTCTTGATAGTAATGCAACATTTTTCCTCTTCTCATTAACATTTCTTTCGTGTTTTTTTTTTTTGGTCAAACTAAAATACTTCCATTGTATAAAAAGGCAAGAACAAGGAAAAGGTAGCTCACCATTTAAATATAAGCGCAATAGCAAATAAGAAAATACATTAGCTATGCCCAAAAGTGGCCAGTTGAACAACAACAAGAAAACCTAAGACTGGAATGGAAACCAGTAGCCAACAGATGTGTCTCCATCGCAAAGCCACCACTAGCACCAAGAGAACAAACCAACGCAACAACAGGATCAACGAAAAATAAGGGTGAGCGAGACACCCACGCAGTGAACGCTCCTATAATCTTACTCAAAGAGGTGCTTAATAAGTTGTGCATTGTGATGAACTATTAACCCAATTCACTCGTTAAAAGGACAATATTGTTTTGTGAAATCATATCAAATGACGACACATCATATCTCATTTAAGGGTTTAACTAGCCTTCATGCACATGCTCACGCATGTGCAGAAGACATTTTTTGAATCACGACGTGCTACATGCGACTTACATATTTTAAATGTATTTATATGCGTGGATTTACAAAAGGAAAGTCAAATATTTGAAGTAAATGAATAATCTTGGATCATGCTGGAAAAACCCTCACAAACTAATCAAAGCAACTGAATTCACATAATAAAATCAGTATTTCAATTTCCATCTACATTCTATTGAATTTACATTAAGAATAGAGAAAATACTATTTAATAAATAACTGATTGAATCACATTATTGCTAGCCCATTGTGAGGCTAAGCCCATCCATTCCTCCGTAGTATAGATAATATCGTTTGTTCAAAAAAAAAAAACAATCATTGGACAACTAATTTAATCACATTATTATGCGCGTGCGAAATACCTTTTTTATAATCGGCATTACACGCTTCTTGAGATGCTTTGAACGTGTTTAAAAATAGATAAAATAATATTTAATGAACAATTTGTTGAATCACATGTTAGTCTATTGTGAGGTACTAATTAAAAAACACTGTACAAAAAGAATTAATTATTCAAAAAACACTATTAAAAAGACGAAAATACCCTTACCTTATCTGGTGCATTATTGTGGGTTGCTTTTTATTTTATTTTTGTTTTGGGGGTATTTTTGTCTAAAACTTTTTGGTGAAACTTGTGACCTCAAAAAGAGTTGTTGCCTTATATATAAAGATAAAATCGCACGATAAAAAGTCAACTACTTTAATTCCCAACTTGATGGAAGTCGTCTACTAAGTTGGAATTTAAAATTGTAAGTGGCCTTTTATTATAGTGGTGGAGATGAGTGTTGAACTTGCACCACAACTTGGGTTCAAATCCTGTTGACTTCCTAATCTAACATCTAATTAAACAAATCTATCATTTATCAAAAAAAAAAAAAAGGAATTTGGAATTATTGAAGTTTCTAATCCTCACTTAGTCAGTCGCTTAATACTATGATCTAGTGGTATTCATCTTCCCACCCAGCTCTCTTCTAATGTAGATAATATTGTTTGCTCACAAAAAAAAAAAAATTCTATTCAAAATTTCATTATTTATCTGAAATAACAAAAACCAAGGACGGCAAAAATCAATATACAAATGGACCAACCAGCTCCTAGTTAATTATAAAATTACAGAAAAAGGAAAAATAGAAAAGAGGAATGAATGTGTCAAGTTATTTTAAAAATCACAACCAACGAGGAGAAGATCATCCGCAAATACTTCATGGTCTATTCACAAAACTTCGTGGTTAATTCGAACTGTTCATTTTTTAAATTACCTTGTAAAGATCATTTTTGCAAAAAGTTAATGAAAATTAAGGTCGTTTTTAGTTAAACATTAATAGATAACCATGTTGTAATGCTTTTATCATCTATTTTTTATATATCTCGACGACTAAACAATCTTAGCTTTAATATGCGTTTTGACTATAAATACAAAATTTTGTGAATAAATATTTTGAGGAGGAGTCCTCCTCCATCATTGAAGAGCCAAAATTTCTCTTCATTCCTATAACCAATAGGATTAAAAGAAAATTAACGGAAAGTTCAAAAAAACTTCTCTTTTAACGAAAAGCATTTTTAAAGGTATAGTGAATATTGCCAATTAAAGGTAAAAATGTGGTTTTTTGTTAAAAGTGAACAGTACCAGAAATGTTTTGTTAAAACTCCCTAGGATTAATTCATTCAATAGGAAGAAAAGTAAGGATATGAATATCTAATACGAAAGCACACAAGTCCTAACAATGTCACACTCTTTGTTATACTATATGTTATGATTATGAAAGCTCAAGTAGGACTTGATGTAATCAAGTCATCTTATCTTCTGATGATGCATCTATGGAGTTCCGAACACATTTTCCTCCAAAAAATTAATCTAAACCCATTTAAAATTTAAACTAACGATAAGTAAATTCTGTTAATTATATATGCCAATGACTTAATGAACGGTAGGTCAATCCTTTGGCCACGTTAAGAGAACTTCGGCCGTGTGAGAGATTAATTAATCACTAAACATCACATTTTTCATTACATTGTTACTAATGTGATCAGAATACACAATCTTCATCATTTTCTCATGAAACTACTTTTTTTTTATCACAAAAATACATGACATAGCAAAAGGTGCAGTCCTGTGCTGGGAATCTCATAAAAATTGTAGTGAGCCAAACGATGCAAAAATTACTGCACCTAGATAATCCTTTTCAATTTAAAAAAAGAAAATTCCTTTAACCAAATTAATCATGTGATCGACTATTGGTTTGGAAGGGGAGAAGGAAAAACAACTTGGAAATAAGAAGTGCAAATTAATAATTGTTTCTACTTCCTTTTGGGGTCATCTGTGGACAATGATGTGTTTAGGTCAGTCGGGCAGGTTGAATTAGTAGAAATTTTGGCTCAAGTGTGAACCTATTGAAATGTACTTCCTTAAGACTTTATTTTTGTCAAATCTCTCAAGCTTAAGACTAGTCGCTTTTAAAAAGAGTGCTTTTAAATCAACTCTTGATAAAAATGCAAGTAAATTTTAGAAAAATACTTAAAGTACTTTATCCAAAAAACATCAGTTCTTGTAGGAAACACTTCCAAGTGTTTTTGAATCACTACCGTTAATTGATGGTGTCATTAATGTTTGGTAATGGTGTGAGCAAATAATGAAGTTGATTTTCAATAACACGTCATTTATAGAGTTTTGAATCACCAAATGGAGCCCTATTAGTCAAGTTAAACACTAACATTGTCTAGTTATAAGGGATCAATTTAGAGATTTAAAGATCTATAAACGACACAGAAAGCGATGTCTCTCATCAATACTTGTCTAGGTCTTCACTTAATGCTAGTTATCTAACAAGTGTTCATTTTTCAAAAAGGTTACATAATTTGAAATGTTTTAAATGATTGAGGTCAATTAATGTAACCTTTAAATGTTGGATAGTTGTTCATACTTAACCCTAAAATAAAATAAAAAGTTATGAAACATTTCTAAAGATGGGCTAAAATTTAAATGATGATAAAGTGGTGAAATTAGTTTGTTTTGCCGTGTAAGCTCAAACCAGAGACCAGGGCCCGATTTCTTATTCTCATATAACCGTTTTTTCTTGGACTACTTGCACAGATCCAGCTGCCCCCAAAATCTTGTCTACGCCAAATACAATGCTGCATTCTTTAAAATCTAATGCAGGAAACATGAAACATGACATCTCAACCACTAAAAAATTATTACCAAACACCACACAGTAGCACCGTTCATAAAAGAGCTAATGTATCTAACGGACTAAAGCAGCGAGCGTCCAATATCCGGCCAGCAGCGAAAAATTGAAGACAAACTGCAAAATTAAACAAGAGACCGCTGGGGTCAGTGAAGCAGTGGAAGAAAAACGGAAACCAAAAAGCAATTTTAGTTGTCCTATAGTATTATAAGGCATTTAAAAATAATTCAATTGCAACAAATCTTAGTTTCAATTGGACAATCATTTCGTACTGTTCACTGTGTTTATGCTTAATCTAAGTACATCGAAGGAGTACAGTGATATTGTCACGCCTTATGGAATTGATTCTAGGTTCATATTGGCCTATTAATTCTAAAATTCTACAGTTACAGCTGATAATCATCAAGAAATTAGATTAATTTTGGATGATACTTGTGTTCTCTTGTGAAAATGCACATACTCCACTTCTTTCGAATAAAGTATATTTACCATACATATTTTATAATTAAAACCGTTTTAACTTTTTAGCCTTCTCATACCTACAAAAAATTATTCAAATCGTCACCCAAAAGCATGAGCATCAAGTAACATATTTATAATGAACCGTCCATTTATATGTTACATTAAGATGACTAAATGACCTTCTGTTCGAATAATGATTAAAAAATTGGATGATGTTATAAACTTCTTTATTTAAGTGTAACTGTGTAAATCCTATATTAAATTTGATTATAGTTATTCTTCTCTCTTCTTATTACTATAAATAAAAGCATCATCCACATAACCCTACAAACACATTTCTCTCTCTCTATATTTTCTCTGTGCCGCCGGCCCCCTCTTCCTGTCAGTTAAATATAGGCCACAACAAATAATTCTAATTCTAGAGTTTATATATATATAAAAAAGATACGTTATTAAATGTGGGATATGTGCATTCCCAATGGGGAAACTGCAAGTATTATTCTTAAAAATTTGTCCTAAAAAAGACAGAAAGAAAACAACAAACAGTAAAACACACAATACCCAATTCATGTCGAATATGAAAATCAAAACATAAGGAGCATTATAAGAAAACTTGGGTAATTGACAATGGTCACTAATATCAGTTGTGCAAAAGGAGTTGGGTAAAAAACATATCAGGCAGCTAATAACCCATCATAGCTAATAGAATATGGAACGGGTATACTAACGTAAGGTACTTTTGTAAATCAATTGCAATTGAAAGCTAGTAAGGGTAGTAAGGAGAAGGAACAGCATGCACATACCAGTCATCTAAGGACTGAGTAGCAGCCGATTGTCTTCATCAACTTGGCGTGAAGGTGGGGTCGGGGGAGCTAGAGGGTCATCATCGTCTTGGCAGGAAGGGGGTAAGGGCGGGCTTGGAGGAGCTGGAGGGTCATAATCGTCTAGGAGGGGAGAGGGTGTGGGGCTTGGGGGAGCTGGAGGACAAAGGTAACCCTGATAGCCAGGTGGTGAAGAGCCATAACTTAACAATGCTGGTTGTGGGATTACAAACAGAAAGTTCAGAACTTGTTTGTTTCAGAGAAAATTTGAAGGTGTAACATGTTTTTTTTAATCGGACGAAACATTTTGTTGCTCTGGATGCCGCCACCCCTCTTACTGTTGTAACCAGGGTAGTCTGACTTGTTGAACCACACTTTCTCTTTCAAAAACAGGCCTGCTTTCTCAGCAAGTTCCTTCAACTTCCATTGATCATACGGGTAGCCTACCATGTGTGAAACATGAATTTCACCACCTTTGCTGAGCATCCCGCGGGCGCTTTTGAAAAAGGCTTTTAACAAATGCCTGTGCAATCTAGCTCCATTGAAGCTCCATATTAATCACTTATGACAAAGTAATTCAGTAACTAATAGTTATAATACCATATGAGAATTGATAATATGGGTAGAGAGAGCTTTAAGAATCTGCATTTTGCTATATAACTGGTCCTGCATCCTCACCATTGCATAAACAAAACTGATTGTGTAACAAAAAATAAAAACAAAATTGATTAACCATGAAAGACTTCATTAAAAGATTAAGCAGTAGAGAATAACATAGAAGGTTTGTCCTTGAATCCTACGAAAGGTTTGAGGGTTGAATTCTCATTCAATACATACAACAATTACATAAAAGGAAGGCTAATCTAAATGATTTGGGAATCAATAAGAGATCACGAAATATCTCCACAAATCAGGAATTACATAATTATTGTCCATCATTCACAAAGTAATGATAAGTTACGGGTCACTGCTTAGATGAAAACTTGTGACAACCTTGAAATTAATTAAATTTAACATCTATCAAAATATTTACTAATTACGTCATTATATATTTGTTATTAACACTCCAAATACTCATCCTACACTCATTCCTCCACTTTTCTTTCACTAATGTGAAGTACATGACAACTATTTTGGAGTGCCAATAACAACTCTCTTTCCACTAATATTAATAGGAGCCTAATATTTCATTAATCAGTACAGCGCCAAGTTCATACATAGGCATCAGTGGAAGAGCATGTTGGAACAAAGCATGGTGCAAAAGATCAAGGTAAATTTTTGTCACTTACTCTATGAGCTCCTCGTCTTTTTCGCACAGCCGATGGTAATGTCCTGCATGAGGAAAGTTGAATATCATAACATAAAATTTCATGGACTTAAGTGTGGGATGACGGTGCATGACATATACATTGACTTCATACAACACCAAGCACCCTCTTTTTTTCAACTCCTCCTAATGCTCCTCACAGCTCCTATGCTCTGTCAATAAAGTATCTGAAAGATTTCAAGAAAATTTATTAATTCATGTAAAACAAATTCAAAAAGATCAAGATAATGATTTTCTGTTTGTGAACATCCATGGAGTCTATAAATTTTACCTTGGGATTTGAGAGTGGTAGCAACCATGTTCGTGGCAGAGCGAAATGCTTTAGCCAAAGAGGCAGAAAATGAGAAGTTTCCCTCACCAACCAAGAGTATTTTCTGCGAGCTAGAGTAGTGTCCTATCCGTCTTTGTTTTTTACCCATTCTTGATTTCTGCTCAAGTTCCTTTAAAAATTATAAGTATTCTCTTTGAACTATTTCACTATATATATATATATATAGAAAACTCGTTCGAAACACACTAAAACGAAGTGGATACTCACCTGCAAGGGGTCTAGAAGTTACTTGTGTTGACGAGAAGCCGATTTGTGGCAACCCAGAGGCAAGTCGCCGTCGAGATCGTCGAGAAAACCGTCGGATACCTTTGGATTTCGAACCGAGCTCGGCTCTCCGATTCTCTGGTTTTCCAGAGAAACAAAACTCAGTTGAGTTCAGGCGGTGAAGGGGTGGAGATGTGGTGATTGAGGGATGTTGGTTCGTCGGAGAGACGGCTATTCTCTGCGTTGCAGAGAGAAGAGGGAGATAACGCGTAGAGAGAGACACGACGAGAGGGAGGAGAGAGAAGGGACACGGAGAGAGAAGCTTCTGATTGAGGGAGAGAAGGCATGAAGCCTTTTGATTCGATGAGTGTGACCTTACCCCAAAGAGTGAAAGCTTTGTTTCGTAGAAAACAATCCCACAAACGAGAATTTTTAAGTTGCCATGAAAACAAGTAGTACAACACGTTTTGTAATAAAAGTAAATTTTATGTTTTAAGTTATTAATATTTTAGTACACATATTTTACAATTTGTATAACGATACGTGATATACGATTCTGAGTACCGATCACATTGACAAATCTTTCTCCACAAACCACAAAACCCAAAAATCAGATATTTCTTTATAGAATAATGCTGTAGAAATTAAATTTAAAGACTAAATTTACAAATTAAATAATGTGTCACCAATAAAAATAAACACAATTATCAACGTTTAAATAATAAACTAATTATCAACCCTTATTCTCTAGTTTTCAAAATTTGATTTCTAAATTTAATTTACCTAGCATTACTCTTTTTTATTACCAACCGACAGTCAGCCTGAAAACTATCACGCCCATGTAAGCAGTGACATCACACCCAGACGTGATCATGAGATTGCAAACATTTCCCACTTTGAATTATGAAAGACCATTCCTTACGAGAGGAGGAAACCCAGAGTTTTGTTAATCATAGCATCTCGAACTTTTGGTTAAAATCTAAAAATTTAACTTTAAAATATTTAAATTTTAAAACAAAACTATACTTTTGCTAGTTCTAACCAAAATTTTAGTTCGAGATTACTAAAAAATAAATTTAGACTAGATTTTTCTTGTTTAAATATATGTAAATATCATAATTTATTTTTATGAACATTTTAACATAAAAATATTTAGATTCCAAGAAACATGTATTTATAGAGTGTTTAGATGAATTTTTATTTAAATATTTTTTAATTGTTTTAGTTGTTAGATTTAATTCTGAATCGAAAGATTTTTTTTCATTAAATTTAATCATATTCAATCTCAGCCGTTATATTTAATGTATTTAAAAATTTAAAATTGCCCAAATTTTTTGTTTTAACTCAGAACTTATTTTTAAACCCAACTATTAGAGAAATATTGAGTTAGTTTAAAATCTAACTTTTGGTGGGCCAACTTTTTAACCTGACCAAAATTTTGGGTTAAATTTGTCCAAATTTTATGTTTTAATTCAAATTTATTTTAGGTCCTACCATTAGTTTAAAACTAGTTTAAAACTTAAAGCTTTAGATTTTAATTTAAAGGTTGAAGATAATCTCAAAAAAGATCTGAGAACACCAAAAGCAAAAGGGAAAATAAAAGGGAAAGCAAAAGAAAAAGAAAAAGATACAAAGGAGACATCATCGTGTTCGTCGTCTTCATGCCTACCAGCAGATGTATTTGCAGATGGCTTGAAGGATTGTAGTAGACTGGCCAATATAAGAAGAGTAAAAGAAGAGTAAACCTAGGTAGAATAATGGGAACTTTAACGAAAAGCATCCGGTACTGTTCACTTTAATGAAAAACCACATTTTTACACTAAAAAGTCAATCCTGGTACTATTCACTTTACTTTTTATTTTGTACTTATCATTAAAACTCAAAGTTTTCAAACCCTTTTCATTAGTTTTCCTTAGAATTAGAATAAAGGGAACTTTAATGAAAAGCACCCGGTACTGTTCACTTTAATGAAAAACTCAAAGTTTTCAAACCCCTTTCATTAGTTTTCTTTAGAATAAATTGGTAGATTATATTTTACAACTTATATGATGTGTCACAAATAAAAAAAAAGTACGTTAATCAACATTCAAGTAATAATCTAACTATTAACTCTATATCATTTAATTTATAAAATTTAGTCTACACAGTTAATCTTACTAGCATTACCCATATAAGAAACTTCTGAATGAGGGGAAAGGGACATAAAAAAACCAAGAGAGAAAAGGAGAAGACTAAGCACATTTTTAGTCAGAGAAAACACACGGTTATACAAAAAGGGTAAATTACATAGTACCTCCTCAGGTTTAAAGTTTATTACAATCACATACAACATCTTTAAAACATTTCACTTTCATACCTCACCTACTATTTTATTTCAATTTCATACATCTGTTAGAAAATCTGTTAAGTAAACCGTTAAATTATGACGCAGCAAATAAGGAGTTCTCATTTGTGCTGACATGGCTACCACATTTATGCCACGTGGCTAAACACTTAATAAAAATATAAAATATTAAAATAATTAACTAAAGAAAAGTAAAAGAAAAAAAAAACCCAGAAATCGTTTTCCCCGACCCACCCCTTCTCCCATCCATTATCACCCACCCCAAAATCCTACCCGAGCCACCCCTTTCTTCCATCCCCCATCATCCCTCCCAAAAATCACCCATCACCCACCCCCAAAAAATCCCACCCGAGCCACCCCTTTCTTCCATCCCCACAACCTCTTCCTCTTCAATCGTCGGAAAAATTGGGAATTTTCCCCAAGATGAATCAACCACAAAACCAGTCCAAAAATCATATACCATACCTAAAATTGATACTAAACGACGAGAGAAATTCACCAAAAGTATTTTCGAAACTCACCCACACTAAAAATCACGAGATCTTGGCCGAAAAATATGGAGGTCGTGGTCTGGGTTCGCGTTCATAGTCCAAGGTCTAGTTTTCTGGGCTCAAAGGTTGGTAAACCTCGTCGAGGTGGCGAGCTTAGGTGGTGGTGGTGTGATTCAAGGTCTTTGTGCAAAACTGAGAGAGTGAAAGTGAGGTGAGAGAGTTTGAGATGAGGAGGAGAGGAAGAGCAGGACAAGGTATGGTGGTTGAGTGGTTCTCCGCCATGAAAATGGCGATGGTGGTGATCTCGGTGTTTTTGTGTTTGCAGAGGAAGGGGGTGGGTGATGGGGGATTTTGGGGAGGGGTGATGGGGGATGTGAGAAAGGGGTGGCTCAGGTGGGTGATGATGGATGGGAGAAGGGGGTGGGTCGGGGAAGATGATTTCTGAGTTTTTTTATTTATTTATTTTAATATTTTAAATTTTTTATTAAGTGTTTAGCCACGTGGCACAAATGGAGACCTCTTATTTGTCACGTCATCACTTAACAGTTTACTTAACAGATTTTCTAACGGATGTATGAAATTGAAATAAAATAGTATGTGAGGTATGAAAGTGAAATGTTGTTGTATGAGATTGTAATAAACCTCAAACCTGAGGGGGTACTATGTAATTTACCCATACAAAAAAAATCCTCCCCAGTTTCCAAAGTATTTCTCATTTCCCTCCCTGTAACTACAGTTCATATAATGAGAAATTGCTAATGCTCGAGGACATAAGCACAACTTGCTGAACCTCGTTAAATTTCATGTCTTATTTACTTTACAAACTGCATACATATTTCGTATAACCTGCAAAAAATCTATTCCAACATTTACCAATTTGTTATCGAACTTTAAACGAGCATAAAACTTCGTTCAAGTTCGATTTGTGTCCAGTTTGCGCTCACACCTACGTGTTGTCAAGCACTATTCAAATATAGTAAGAATTAAGACAAATTATAAACTGAGTTCAAATGTCCACGTAGGATTTCAAATTAGCCCAATATGGGAGTTTTTTGTCATTTTACAATTTTTTGAAAAAAAATTAAAACAATTTAAGAACGGGTTGTTACAATCTATCCTGCTTAAAAAAAATTCGTCTCCATAATTTCTACATTACAAAAGAATACAATCAAAATAACAAACATGGATTGGGAGCTCACTCGTTTCTAGTCTGTCAGTGTTACCTCATCGTAAGTATGATGATGGTTGATCTCCAAAGGCCGGGGTTGGATCACATGTTAGGACTGAAACGTATCTACGTGGCATTCTGAAAGTAGTGAATCCTGGAAATGACTTGTTTAGAAGTTATTTTAAAATGAATGAGCAATTCTAAAGTGAGTGTTTTTAGAACTAATTCTTAATAAAAAAAATGTAGTGAATCCTGAAAAAATACTTACAATACTTTCTCCAACACATAATTGGTGATTCTTGCATGAAATCCTTCAAGTGCTTTTGGAATAAAAAAAACATTTTCACTAAAAACACTTAAGTTGTTTTAAATACATTTCTAAACCAGCCCTTAATTAAAATGAAATTCCCAAGCGACTAATTCGTTTCCCTTCATAGTAAGGAAGTTGTACAACTCTTAGAAAATCCAACCTAAGTGGTGGAGAGAATTTTTAATCTGTCAAGAATACAGCCAAGTATACTAAATGTAATAATACAATGGGTCAGAAACTTAAAGAAAAAAAAATTCAACCACTTATATTATGACACATGGCATATGATGCTCCCATCACCCTACAAAATTTCTCTGGGTGGTGGATATTGATAGGTTTTCCTATCCAACCTAGTACGTTTGATAGTCTAAATCCTAGATTATTCTATTGTCTGTCAGAAAAACCCCTAGCCCTCATGCTCATAACCGAGGAGGAAAACTAGCCAATAGCCTAGCATGGAAGACGACATCCTTGCCGACATACTATCAAAACTACCAGCCAAATCTTTACTACGATTCTGGTGTGTCTGCAAGTCATGGCGTGCTTTAATCTCCAGTTCCTATTTTATTACGAAGAATTGCAGTCGTTCATCACTGAAAGGCAAACACCAACACTGCCTTAATCATCCTTTATTCAGTCAATCCTCTCCGATACCTAGACAACAATGCACTATTACACCACAAGGCTGGCGACGGTGTCATTGCGAGAACAAACCCTAGGCGTATTTCCTCTCATTTGCAATTTGTGGGTTCGTGCAATGGGCTTATATGTTTTCTTTCATCAGACCACACTTCATCTTATGGAACCCTTTACAAATGGCATCAACAAGTTTCCGTTCATACCTAGTTGTATCGATTTCAGTTGGCAGCGGACATTTCATGGGTTATGATTCCACCACTCAAGATTGCAAGGTCGTATCGTGCGCAAAATCTCAATCAGAAGTCGTTGTGGCCGTCTATGCACTAAAAACCGGTTCTTGGAGGACAGTCAAAGACACCAATTTCGGTCTCATGATTGGGCCGGGGTGCATATTAAATTGAGATCTTCATTGGCTAGAGCTCGCGCGCGATGGTCATGGAAATGTGTGATTTTATTCAAAACCAAGAATTGTCTCTTTCGATTTAGGGGAGGAGAAATTTCACCACGAGGTGGTTCCATTACCCAGTGTTGTCGTCGATGGCGGCGGAGAATGTTATGGATATGATAGCATCTGGACTAATGGAAATTCTCTCTTCCTATACACCCATGTGATTAAGAGACGCAAGTTTGAAATATGGGAGACTACAAGAAAAAGGCCCTTTCGGCGACACTTTATTTGCAAGAGAGCACACGACCATTGCGAATTCTCAATAATTTAGCGCGCATGGTGTTTGGGATAAAACTTTTGGGATACTAGTTTAAGTGACGTCACAAATGATGATATTTGATACGACACATTTCCAAAAATTTCATTTACCATATGTTTGGATAAAGAAATTTAAAATTATTAAGGAATTTTAAAATGACGGAAATTGAAATGAAGAGATTTTATTTTCTAGAATTTGTGAATTTTGTTGTTTGGTTAACCTAAAAGAACAATGGAATTAAAAACCGAATTTGTTAATTTTAATCTTCCAATCATAGAAATTGGGAAATGACACCTATTTATATGGAATTTAAACTTGAAAATTGAAGGTCCCAAATTCCAAGTTTTTTTTCCATGCGAAAATTTTAAATTTTTATGTTATAAATCTAAACAAAAAAAATTAATGCATATCAATTTATAAATTTTGATTTTTATCTAAATTTCAAGTTTATTTTTGTTATTCAAACATGATAGCGCGCCCCATCTTTAGAAGAAAGATATTTCACCGTTTTTAATCTTTAGGTAAAGTTAGTGGATGCCTCTCAGATTTGAAATCAGGTTCCCCCAAATCAAATCCCCTCTCTCTCTCTGATTCGCAGTCGAGCGTCGATTTCCAGCGAAGCTACGCTCCGATCACTTGACGTATGCTCTCTCCCTCTGTTTCTTTCCCGATAAAAGTTTTGATGAATGAAAAATACGATTCCGTTTCTTGCGTTTTCTCAGTAGCCAAACAGAAATATCGCTCGGTGTTTCATACTTACGGAATGGTCTTTGAGTTCTCTTTGTAAATGAAGTTTTGATTTCTCTTTTTCGTGCCCAGTGCGTTCCAGACGCTGATTATGATTTACAGTGTTAAGGAGTTTTTGGAAGATGGGGTTTATATACCCACTGATGTGAAGGTGAAGCAGATGAAGAGGGCGATGCCGGACTGCGTGACGGTGCAGAAGAAGTTTAGCAAGGATAGGGATCCGGTGGCGACTGCTTATGAGGTTAGGGATAAACCCTCGGCGTTGAAGGCGGAGGATTGGGACTGGGTTGTGGTGGTTTTCGTCTTGTCGAGATTTTCGATAAGAGTAAGTGGAAACTTTTAGTTCTAAGGTTTTAATTGCACTGAGAAATTGTTATCTTGGTCATTGAGATCGTAGCTTTCTGAATTTGTTTTATGTGACTTTTGAAAGCGCATTCTAGCTGATATGGATTGTGTTGTTTGTGTATGTTGTCTTGTGATGCAGTTATGGGGTTTTTCATGCGATTCGAAGATGATAGTGTGGAGTTAGCAACGATTGTGAACCTGTGGAATGTGAAGATCATCTCGGTTGGTTGGTAGAATTTATTTGATTTAATGTGTTACCAGTAAAAGTTCCACCGAGTTATGCTCGTAGGAAAAAACAAATTAATTGTCTTAATTTGCTGCTGCAATGGAAAGAAAAAAAAGAAATGGTTCCCTTTCATTTATGCTTGTAGGAAAATCAGAATGATTCAGCTTTCAAGGTTAATGGTTTGTTAGACCCCTGGAACCATTATGCATACGAGTAGTTAATTAGTTACCCCTTCATTTGTGCTTTAATTATCTGGATTTGTATCGCTACAATGAAATAGGATTGCTGTTATTACCTGTGAGAATTTCACTGCATCGAATATGTATAATTACCAAAATAAAAAGTACACGGGAGGGGGGGATTGCTTGTGAATTTCTAAGATTGCTATGTTGTGAAGCCTACGTACCAAATAATTTTCACACACTGTATCATTATTTAAGATTTGCATAGAAAAGGAGGACACACTTGTTATTTTAAAGGGAAACTCCTTTTTGTTAATACCTTGTCTTATATGAAAATGTTCTCTCATGGTTTTATCGCTTAACGTGTGCTTTTGACTGCAGATTCCTTGTCCGCAGTGATATGCCTCTCAGAGTGCTTGCCAAGTTTATTGGGGTTCAACTTGTTAACTTTCATATTCAATTGTATTTCAAGAACACTGTACCTCCCATTGGTAAGCAGAGCTGCAATTTTTTTCTTTTTGTTTCCCAAATTATTTGCCGACCTTGTGTTTGTAATAACTTTAATTCTTGCACTGTTGCAGAGGCTTTGATGTCTGAATTTGATGCGGAGAATAAGGGTGACAATGGAGATGTTCACACAACCTACACTGGCAAAGGGAAAGGAGACGACTCTGAATCATTAATGTGTTACCACTTACCAGTAAGAGTTCCATTGAATTAGATACCTTTAATTCCCAGTCAGTAGGTGGACATACCTCTGTTTTAATTTGAGCCTCTATGCAGAGGACTAAGAGTAGAGCTGCTGCAAGGAGTGACATAATTACTCGCAGGGTCAAGGGGAGGAAGGTATTTGTCGAACTAACAAGCCAATCTGGAGTGACATAATTCCTATAGGATTATAGATGGTATAAATGTTTAGGATTATGTATATATGTTTAAATACCAGAAGTGAAATACATTCTTCATTCTCAAAGAAACCAAATAAATGTTTTTTTGATTTGTGAATTATGAATAGTATCAGTGAGGTTGGATTGTTATTTTAGTTTGGAACCTATAGTGAATTTCACATGAAATAATTTTGGTGAAGTTATTAAAAATAATGTCGTTGCGGCATCCCATTTGATGCCCTTTTTCTTTTCTTTTTTAACCTGAGACCACTTATTTGCGACGCATAACCTACTGTCGCAAACCCGTAGTAAATAGTATTTGTGACAACTGAATTGATCCTTTGCGAGTGGCTTTGTGGAGATGTCTGCCAATTGCTCTTTTGTGGGACAATACACCAAGTCAATAATGCCTTCCTGCAATGCATCTTTGATAAAGTGATATCTCTTGTCAATGTGCTTGGTCTTTTGACGAAACACAAAGTTCTTGGTAATGGCAATGGCAGAAGTGTTGTCACAGTGAAGATGGGTACTTCAATTTGCAATTCTCCAAAGTCCTCAAGAACAAACCTCAACAATATTGCTAGAGCCATGGTTTCAGATGCACTTATGTATTTAGCCTTTGCAGTTGAAAGTGCAACACAATTTGCTTAACTGAAGCCCAAGAGAACACACCACTGCCAAAAGAAAATGCATACTCTGATGTACTCTTGTTATCCTCCAATGAATCAGCCCAATCACTATCATAGTAGCCAATTAAACAAGCTTTTCTTCTTTTCACATATTCCAGACCATAGTCTAGGTCCCCTTGATGTATCTGAACACTCTTTTTAAAGTTCCATAGTGTTTATTAGTAGGAACTCCGCCGTGTAAGTTTATCTTACATTGCCGGTCCCAAGCCCGGATAAAGGAGGAGGGGGAGGGCGTCAGGTAGTCGACAGCCGGCACTCCATGATCACGTCGAATCCTTATGAAAATGAATCCAGAACGAAATCGCGCTAAAGCTAGGGCGTCACCCGTAAGTGGCGCGCTGTGTGGCCCGAGCACAGTGATAAGTGAGCAAGGGTCGCTGTATCTCCATCGGCACCCGGATGCAGTGTTAAATGAGCAAGGGGGCTATAGAAACTTCTTTTCGAACGACTCCACTCAAAGTTGTTTGGGAGCATATGCTCCTATCAACTTTACACGGGACACACAAAAGAAGTACTTTGATCCTATTAGACGGGGAATGGTGAAGAAGCTAGGACAGAAGGGTAGAGTTCAAGAGAGCAAAATGCGTTTAGGAACGTGGAATATAGGAACCTTGACGGGAAAATCTATGGAAGTAGTAGAAGTTATGGTGAGGAGAAGGATAAATATTATGTGCCTACAAGAAACTAAGTGGGTTGGGCGTAAGGCAAAGGATCTAGAAAACTCAGGGTTTAAACTATGGTATTCGGGCACAAATAGAACGAGAAACGGTGTTGGCATCATTGTGGACAAGACCTTGACACAAGATGTTGTAGATGTCAAGAGGGTAGGAGATAGAATCATGGCAATTAAGATTGTAATAGGACAAGAACTTATCAATGTGATTAGTGCGTACGCACCTCAAGTAGGGTTGGATACGAGTTCGAAGGAGAAATTTTGGGAAGACCTTGGAGACTTGGTGCAAGGAATTGCTCAGACGGAGAAGTTATTTATAGGAGGAGATTTAAATGGACACGTGGGTAGGGAGATAGGCAACTATGGAGGTTTTCATGGTGGCCATGGTTTTGGGGAGAGAAACGAGGATGGGGAAGCTATCTTGGATTTTGCAATGGCATATGATCTCTTCTTAGCCAACACCTTCTTTAAGAAGCGGGAAGAACATGTGATCACCTACAAGAGTGGGTCGTCAAAAACACAAATAGATTTTCTTCTAATGAGGAAAAGGGATCGTATAACTTGTAAGGATTGCAAAGTTATACCAGGAGAGAGCGTGGCTAATCAACATCGCTTGTTGGTGATGGATGTACATATCAAAAGAGTGAGAAAAAAGAACAAGACTTGGAAGTGCCCAAGGACTAGATGGTGGAATCTAAAAGAAGAAAAACAAGTCATTTTCAAAGAGAAAATAACCACCCAGTGTGTGTGGGATAGAGAGGGGGAAGCTAACCAAATGTGGGATTCCATGGCTAGTTGTATCCGAAAAGTAGCAAAAGAGGTATTAGGAGAGTCCAAGGGCTTTGCTTTGCCCACACCAAAAGGAATCGTGGTGGTGGAATGAGGAGGTACAAACAAAGGTGAAGGCTAAGAAGGAATGTTGTAAAGCCTTATACAAGGATAGGACCGATGAAAATGGTGAAAGGTATAGAAAAGCGAAGCAAGAGGCGAAGAAAGCTGTGAGAGAAGCTAAGTTAGCGGCTTATGACGATATGTATAAACGACTAGATACCAAAGAAGGAGAGTTGGATATCTATAAACTAGCTAGAGCAAGGGAAAAGAAGATAAGGGACCTAAACCAAGTGAGGTGCATCAAGGATGAGGATGGAAAGGTTCTTGCTACAGAGAGAACGCGGTTAAAGACAGATGGAAAGGTTATTTTCATAATCTTTTCAATGAAGGACATGAAATGAGTGCTTCTTTAGGGGAGTTGAGTAACTCAGAAGAGTGTAGAAACTACTCTTTTTATCGTAGAATCCGGAAGGAAGAAGTGGTTGTAGCTTTGAAGAAGATGAAGCATAGAAAAGCAGTAGGCCCAGACGATATACCAATCGAAGTGTGGAAAGTTTTGGGAGAGACGGGTATAACATGGCTCACTGACCTTTTCAATAGGATTTTGAAAACGAAGAAGATGCCAAATGAGTGGCGAACGAGCACTTTGGTGCCTATCTACAAGAATAAGGGCGATGTACAAAATTGCATGAACTATAGGGGTATTAAGCTAATGAGTCATACAATGAAGCTCTGGGAGAGAGTCATTGAGCATAGGTTGAGGCAAGAGACACGGGTTTCGGACAACCAATTCGGGTTCATGCCAGGGCGCTCAACCATGGAGGCAATCTATCTCTTACGAAGATTGATGGAAAGATATAGAGATGGGAAAAAGGATTTACACATGGTCTTTATAGATTTGGAAAAAGCGTATGATAGGGTCCCAAGAGACATTCTTTGGAGGATTTTAGAGAAGAAAGGAGTACGAGTAGCATATATCCAAGCTATACAGGATATGTATGAAGGAGCAAAGACTGCCGTAAGAACTCATGAAGGACAAACCGAAAGCTTTCCCATAACTGTAAGATTACATCAAGGCTCATCCTTAAGTCCTTACCTCTTTGCGTTGGTAATGGATGAGTTAACAGGACATATTCAAGATGATATTCCTTGGTGTATGCTTTTCGCAGACGATATAGTGTTGATAGATGAAACTCAAGAAGGGGTAAATGCAAAGCTTAACCTTTGGAGAGAAGTGTTGGAATCTAAAGGTCTTCGCCTAAGCCGATCAAAAGACAGAATATATGGAGTGCAAGTTCAGTGCAAATAGAGGCCAAAACGAGTTAGGGGTGAGGATCGGAGATCAAGAAATACCAAAGAGCGACCGTTTTCGTTACCTAGGATCTATCTTGCAAAAGAACGGAGAATTAGATGGAGATCTCAACCATAGAATACAAGCTGGATGGATGAAGTGGAAGAGTGCATCCGGCGTGTTGTGTGACCGCCGTATGCCACTGAAGCTCAAGGGAAAATTTTATAGGACGGCAATAAGGCCGGCGATGCTGTATGGCACAGAATGTTGGGCGGTGAAGCATCAACACGTACACAAAATGGGGTGTAGCGGAGATGAGGATGCTTCGTTGGATGTGTGGGCACACGAGAAAGGATAAGATTAGGAATGATGATATCCGGGGTAAAGTAGGAGTAGCCGAAATTGAAGGAAATATGAGAGAAAATCGGTTACGGTGGTTTGGACATGTGCAAAGAAGGCCTACTGACGCTCCGATTAGAAGATGCGACTATGGGACAGAGGTTCAGGGCCGAAGGGGTAGAGGAAGACCCAGGAAAACTTTGAGAGAGACCCTAAGAAAAGACTTAGAGTACTTGGATCTAACGGAGGACATGACACAGGACAGAACACAATGGCGTTCTAAGATTCATATAGCCGATCCCACTCAGTGACTTGGATTTTCCAAGTCTCCAACCGAGAAGTTGTCCTCGTTCGGGAAATTAAGGGAACACTACCTCAACCTACATGCTCCACTCACAAAGCTCCAACATACAAGCTTCAACAAAAGAAAATTCAAAGAACTTAGCGAAGAAGGCTTTGGTGATTTAACACAATACGTTGAAATGAAGGAAAGCTTATTTATTGATATCTTGATAAATTACAAATATGTACATATACTTGAGTCAAAATAAACAAACAAGAGGGAGCCTTCACAAAGGTTGCTTAGGAGAAGTCTCGGCAGTCGGTAGAGCCCCAGAAAGAGAAGGCACCGGAGGGGGATCATTCGGAGCCTCAGTACTGGACAGAACCCTAGAAGGAGGAGGCATCAGAGGTTGATCATTTGGAGCTTCATTACGCGGTACAGCCCCAGAAGACGAAGGCAATAAATGCCTTTGGAACAAACCCACAAATCTCTGATGATCAAGTAAAACCTGACCATCAGATTCCTTCATCTGGTCAAGCTTCCTCTTCATGTTTGTAGCATAGTCATGTGCGAGCCGGTGCAACTGTTTATTCTCATGCTTGAGCCCTCTAATCTCCTGTTTGAGACTCATCACTTCAGCCGCCAATGATTCAACTTGGCGGGTTCGAGCAAATAGGCGTTGTGCCATATTAGACACAGAACCTGCACACTGAACACTAAGAGCCAGAGAATCCTTAACAGCCAACTCATCAGACCGTTTGGAAAGTAGTCTGTTATCTTTGGGAGTGAGAAGGTTCCTGGCCACTACCGCAGCGGTCATATCATTCTTCATCACGGAATCCCCAACGGTAAGAGGACCAGTAGGGGAGACGAAGGATGGGCGCCATATGTTGTCTGGAGAAGGCGGGGCTGCCTCTTCAACAAGGTTCAAGTCAAAACGACGGTCGGAGGGGCCAGACATTTTCAAAGGTGTAGAAGAGAGAAGAGATCGGACAAATCAAGTTCTTAGAAGTGCAAGAATGGAGCTTCTACAGGTGGATATTCAAGTGTGCTTTGGAACTTAATGTTAGCCTCTATAAAAATCTGCACTCGACGAAGCTTCAG